CCCAAAAGTACTCACAAATGGCATATGAACAACTTTCAATAAGCACCCCTACCCTGTTTGTTTTGGGGATACCCTTGTAACCCTAAAAAGGCCAAAACGAGAGAAGACGTGCTTCTCGAACAGAGCAGCGGTCTGCGCCGAAGTGACGTCCTTCGTTGTGGGCACCATTACCGCGGTCTTGGTGAGCCGGTCAACCACGACCAGGATCGAGTCGTACCTGTCGGAGAGCGGCAGCCCCTCGATGAAGTCGGCCGAAATCGAGCCCCATGGGCGGTCAGGCGTCTTCAGCGGCTGTAGGTAGCCGTACGGCCGGTGACGAGGCCTCTTGGTACGGGCGCAGGCATCGCAGGACGCGACGTAGTCCGCGACCAACGACTTCATGTTGGGCCAGTAGTACAGCCGTTGGGCATGCTCCATCGTGGCGTCGCGCCCAGGGTGGCCGGCTGGCTGGCTGTCGTGCACCTGGGTCATCACCATGTACCGCAGGTGCTCTCGGCTTAGGCCTGTGGTGGACCGGGGGTCGTGGCCCGGGCTGGCGGGCTGCGCAGAGGATTCAGGGGGCGAGATGTCTCCTCTGCGCGTGGTGGCCTCCACCTCCACATTGCGCGGAGAGGGGTCCTGGGCAGCGGACACTCCTCTCCCGCGACTTGGGATTTCCGGCACCACTAGCCGATCGTGCACGTACCAGAGGCCATCTGCCTTCTGGGCTAGGCCTTCCCTGCGCTTGACCGAGGCTAGTTGCGTCTTGAGCCACGGGTCCAGCGGCTGGTAGGCCTTGCACAGGTCAACGAGCGTGGAACGGCTTGCCAGTTGAAGGACATCGTCGAGGCTGGCGCGCGCCTTGGCGCGTCTTGTACTAACGGCTCCCACAAAGAGCGAGGGGCTCAGGACCGTCCTGTAGTTGGCGTCGGCATCGTCCCCCTCCTTAGGAGTCATATCCAACCTGCGTGTCAGGGCGTCTGGCTTGCCGCCGAGCTTGCCAGGCCGGTAGACGATCTCGAAGTCAAAGTTGGCCAGATGCAGCGCCCATCGAGCTTGGCGGCGCGAGATCCACCGCTGCGTGGCGAAATACTTGAGCGCATCGTGGTTGGTGAGCACGCCGAAGCGGCTGGGCAGTCCGGCTAGGAACTGGTACCAGTGGCAGAGCGAGGCGACGACCGCGAGGAGCTCCTTGTCGTGGATCTTGTAGTTGGCCTCGGCGCTTGTCATCTTCCTGGAGTAGAAGGCAACGGGGTGCCAGAGGCCGTCGTGCTCCTGCTTCAGGATCCCAGCGATGGCGTTGTCGCTGGCATCGGTCTCCACCCTCGTCGGCAAGTCGTAGTCGAAATGCCAGAGGATGGGCGCCGAGGAAAACACCTTCTTGAGGTTGGCAAACGCCGTCTTGGCCGCCTCCGGCAGCTCGAACTTGCGGAAACGCTGCACCGGCTTGACCAGATCTGTGAGCGGTCGGGTGATGCGAGAGTAGTGCCAGATGAAGCGGCGGTAGTAGTTCGCAAAGCCTAGGAAGACCTGGATGTCGTGGATGGACCGGGGCTCTGGCCACTCCGCGATGGCCTTGATCTTCTCCGCTTCCATGGAGAGGCCCGTTGGCGTGACGATGTAGCCAAGGAAATCCGCCTCGGTGGTGTTGAACTGGCACTTGGAGAGCTTGCAGAACAGGCGATGCTCTCGAAGACGCCGCAGCACCTCGCGGACGTGCTTGGTGTGGTCAGCCGGGTTAGCGCTGAAGATGAAGAAGTCATCGAGGTAGATGACGACGTACACCCCCAGGATGTCCCTGAAGATGGTGTTGACCACTGTCTGGAAATGCCCTGGTGCATTGGCAAGGCCAAAAGGCATCACCAGATACTCGAATAGGCCAAAGTCAGTGCCAAACGCCGTCTTCCATTCATCACCGGCAGCGATGCGGATCAGGTTGTACGCCGCGCGCAGGTCCAGCTTGGTGTAGACCATTGCGCGGCAAAGCAGGCCAAGCATCTCGTCGATGAGGGGCAGCGGCGTGCGGTTCTTGACCGTGATCTTGTTGAGACCGCGGTAGTCGACGCAGAGGCGGAGGCTGCCGTCCTTCTTGGGCACGTAGAGGACGGGCGATCGCGCTGGGCTGCGCGACGGGCGGATGAAGCCCTTGCCAAGCATCTCGTCGAGGTAGCGCCGTAGCTCCTGCAGCTCTCGAGGGCCCTTAGGGTACAGGGGCCCTTGAGGCGGCTTGGCACCCTCCTCTAGCTCCATCTTGAGATTGCGCTCGCCGTGAGGTGGCAGGCGGTCTGCCTCCTTCTCGCTGAAGACGTTGGCAAAGTTGCGGTACTCCGCTGGAATGCCAGCGATGTCGGGTGGCTCCGGCTCCTCCTCTGAGCCGTCGCCGGTCTCAACAAAGCCACAGGCCCGCAACGTGGGCCAGTCAACGTCGAGCCACATCATGCCAATCGGCCCGTCTTGGCTGGCGGCCTGCACCAGCTGTTCAGCGCTGACGAACTCGTGCCGGTGGGGTACCGGTCGAATCGGCGGCGCGGAGAGGGGTGTCCTGGCACCTTCACTCCTCTCCTCTGCTGCGGAGAGACTTGAAAGCCCGTCAAGACTCCTCTCCGCGCGTGAGTGGCTACGCCGACCTCTCTTCCTCGGCGTGGCCCGTTCTCGCCCGTTGTGCTTGGCGCATCTCCGCTCTCCGCGGGAGAGGCCCTTGGTGAATTCCAAAGTGCCCTGTCTCCAGTCGACACGTGGGCTGAGCGACTGGAGCATAGGGAACCCGAGGACGACATCGAAACCAGCGATATCGGCCACCAGGAGCGGGAGGCTGCCAAGCCTCGCATCGCCAATGCGCAGGGTTTGGGTCGTCATAGTGGTGACCAACGACTTGTTCCCGTGCACGTCCTCGACGCTCGTCGGCTTGCCGAGCGGCTCCTCGACCAGTCCGTGCCTGTCAACAAAAGCCCGTGACACGAAAGTGGCCGCAGCGCCGGTATCGGCCAGCAGGCGAGCGTCCCGGCCTCCAACGGTGGCCGGCATCTCGAAGACCGGCTGCTGCCCGGCCTTGGCCCAAAAGCACAGGTGGCAGCCGTCTTTGATGCAGGAGGATGGCGAGGCGTTTTGCAGGACCGAGCACGCCATCAGTGCTTGTCCTGCGACTTGTTTCCCTGGTCCGACTCGGAGAAGGAGGAGGGCTCCGCGTCCTCGGCGTCTCCCTCGTCGCTGGACGCCTCGAGGTCCTCCAGCACCGTCAGGAGGGCCACCATCTTGCTGCTCTCCTTCTTGGTGCAGTCGGCGAGGAAATGGCCGGCTTCGCCGCAGCCAAGGCACAGTCCAGCGGCGCGGCGCTGGTTGCGGAGCGCGCGGGCCTCCGCCAGCTTCTTGTCAACCCGCGGATTGGCCTGGCAAGTGGAGGTGGCGTTGCCGGCGGCGGGGCGCGTGCGAGAGACTTCTCGGGCGGGGTTTGAATTTTCTCCGCCGAGGGCGCGATTGCGGGAGAGGACTGTCCTGTCCCTAGCACCCCTCTCCGCACCTTCTGCGCGGCTAGGGCGCTCGGTGCCTTTCTTGTCGAAACGACCACGCAGTAGGCGGTTGTCCTCCCGCTCGCGATCGAGACGCTCGACCTTGTGGCACCAGTCCGGGAGAGTCTGGGGAGGGCTGCGCTCGAACGGCTCGAGGAACTCAGGCTCCAGGCCAGTCTTGAACAACGTGACGGCCATCTCGTCATTGTCGAGGTTGGAGCGGAGCAGAAGGGCCGTGAAGCGTTCGACATACTCCGAGGCTGAGCGCTTTGGCATGGCACTCTGGCGAAGGGCCATCAGCTCGGACAAGGCCTTGGTGCCAGGGTCGATGTTGCCGTACAAGGCCTTCAGGCGGAGCTTGAACGTCTCCCAGCTCTGGAAGATGGCGCCGACGCGGTCGGGGTCGGCCTTGATCTTGCTGACCCACCACTCTTGGGCGCGGCCCTTGAGGTTGAGGCCAACGATCTCAATCATGCGGCGGTCGCTGGGGATGCTCTGGGTGGAGCGCCAGACCTCCGACTGAATGAGGAATGCGTCCAGGCTCGAACGGGTGCGTCGAACTTGGGAAAGTCGACCTTGGGTGGCCGGTAGCGGCCAGCAGTGGTACCCGTGCTGGCGTCGCCGGCGTCATCGCTGGCCTGGCTGGGGACTGCCACGTGCCTCAGATCAGGGCGATCACGGTAGTAGTCCGCAGGCGTCACTGTGGGGCGAGCCAGGCGGTGGCGTCGGCCCGTAGCCTCCAAGGCGCGACCCAGCGTGGGCGAGGGGGGT